TTTGCCCCAGAAGCTGCACTTAATATTAAATGTATTTTTTTCATTCATTGAGAATATATGCAGATGCATTAGGGTTTTTTTTCTGGTATATTGTAAAACCTCCTCATCTATTTAGCATCTCCTCTTCACAAAACAAGAGTTTGCCACCAAGCAACGTTGACATTTCACATAATATCTCAGTTTTTTTTAAGAAAAAAAAATATTCCATGTTTTTAAAACCCCCAGTGCAAATGACAGCCTTTCTGCAAAGTTGATTTCAACTGGACAGCTTAATTAAATGTTTAAATATTAGATACATCATGTTTTATGTCAGAACCTATCACTATGCAACCGTAAATTGTTTTGTCAAAAGTTGGATTTTTAATTTCCTCTGAGAGATTTTAATATTTCCAAAAAATATATTTAATATATTTGTAACAAAAAGCTTATTGTTACATGATTGTCAATATTTAGATAAAAAAAAAAATACTCAGAAACTTATAATCTAGTAGTGATATGTAAATGAGATATACAGACTATATAAGTGCCGAAGCAGTAAGAGAAAGGTAGAAATTAATGACTACCATTGGACTGAGAAAACACTAAGGAAATCACATTTCATAACAAATATATAATAGATTAAAGCATTGAATCATGAACTTAGTGGCATAGTGATTGTGAGTTCAATCCCTGGACGGGGTAGTGCAGACTCAGACTCAATGAAAAAAGGACAAACAGTAATTGAACATATTTAAAAAAAAGGACAAGATATTCTCAACTGCAGATTAAATAAAGTGTTCAGTTTGAAATTCTCAAAAGGTCATAGGGCAGAATAACCAAAATATTGTGATAATAAAAACAGAGGACATTCGTCCAAATGTGAATCTTGTAAATAATTTTAATATATTGCAGTTTTTACAGTTTCCCACCTCTACCTACTTTTTAGTTTCCTGTCTCTTAACAGGATGTGTAGGTGGCATAATGAATCTCTATCTATAAAAGGCAGGATGTGTGTGTGTGTGTGTGTATATATATATATGTATAATGTGTGTGTAACGAATGCATGGCCAGAATTTTTGATGGATTTGCACCAAAATTTACATGCACATGCTCCAAGTTAGCGGGAAGGCCAAAACTGATTTTGCATTTCCCAACTCCCATCGATAGTGGAAATAATTGATTTTTTTCATGCTTCTACGGTAGTTTTCATGTAGTTTGCGGCCATTTTCTACTGGCCAGAGTGAGAGCCTATAGCTGGCTGCCACGAATAGGCAGGAAGATTCTACTGGCCAGCGTGAGAGCCAACAGCTGACTGATACAAATGTTAACTAGCATGCAAAATAAATCGATAGCTGCATTTGTCACAAGTGGGAAAAATTTAAATCTGCATGGCACTTTACTCCAATTGGCTCATTCGCTTGCTTAAACTCAACGTTGATTCTGATTCCGCAGAACTGGGTTGGGTGTGAAAAAGTATTTGTTGTTAACACTCTTTTTTTCATTCGGTTTTTCCAGTTACGAGTCCTTTTTTAAAGCTGATCGTTTTGTGTTCATTTTGTTTAGTTCCTTTTTCGTAACAGATTTAATGTTTAGTATAGAGCTTAGAAAAAATTTGCAGCATGAGATAGGCAAGAAGTAAAGGCAAGGAAGGGCAAAAATAAGTCAAGTGATAGCGATTGCGGTAAGAGTTGTACGATTTTTGAATCAAGCACGGGCAACGCCGGGCCATGCTGCTAGTAGTGGCTAAGAATGAAGAATCAAAAAGCCAAGTTCAAATTCCAGTCGACTGTGTTATATTCATTTACATGCAAATTCCTTTGGGAACTGTATGAGTCCATCTCTTCTCCCCCAGATATGAGTTAAATAGTAGGATTTGTATCTGGACAAATCATTGTAATCTCAAAAAAATTGTTAATGCAATATTCATTTGCAAAAAGAAAAAGAATTCTTACAATTCCAAGATATGTTTCAGCTTTAAATAACCCACAAAAGAGTTTACAATTCAGAAAGTGGAGCTAATTGAGGATGGCAGTGGATAATAGTAATTGTAATATTAGATGTTTATTGAAAAGGAAACATTCAGCATTCATTGACTGAACAGCTAGTGTTACTCAAATTATACATTTCTTCACTCCCTGGCCATCATGTTGGGATCAAAGTTTAATATCTGTTCTCATCTCTAAATGGCAACATTATCCATTTCCTTATAAGAAAACAATCATCATCCATTTTACTGAGAAACCAGTGCTATTCTTGTTATGCTTTTCTTTGCTCCTTGACCATCAGGTTGGGATCAAAGTGTAATATCTGTTCTCCTTGTCTCTAATGCTAATATTAAGCCATTTCCTTATAAGAAAATACTAAGCATTCATTGATTGAGCAACAAATGTTTCTCAAGTTACACTTTTCTTCACTCTGGGATCAACATGTAGTATGTATTCTAAATCAGTTCTATTTATAAAATCTTGCTATTAAAACAATTTTTCAATAAAATAACTTTCTCAAGTCTACTAACTCTTGATTATGTCATTTGTTTCTCTTCCTAAACTCTGATAGTCATACATACAAAGAAGTAGATTATTAGTATATATAATTCTTTCTTGTTACTATCCCAACATTTCCACCATTGTGCCTTCCAGCATTCTTCAGGTGTCTGTTGATCCAGATAACCTCCAGGGAATTTCAGACCGATCTCATTATTTAATTACAAAGTTAGATTGTTCCATTCCACTGTCCATATCAAGAGATATCTCACCTTGTTCTTTTTTAGAACTGCTCAGTTATTGCCCGTCTTCTTCCCACCAAGCCTGTACTACCCAACCCAGAGACTGATTTCAGTTACCAAAAACACAAACCAATTCTTTAATCCAATAGGCTATTGTCCCATTGGACAATACTAAAACAGGGTTGGGTGAGCAATAACTGAACAGTACTAAATAAGAACAAGGCATCCCTAGATGTGGACAGTTGAATGAAAACAATCTACCTCATATTAAATAAAGGGCTCAGTTAAAAACTGCCTGAAGGTTAACCAGGTCAACTGATACATTAATGTTTATTACTGAAAGAGTTTATCAAGCCTTAGATAAGTATAATGAAGCTGAGGATGTTGTTTTGGATATCTCAAAGACACGGTTTGGCATAGCAGCACTTTCACAAGTTAAAAGGTTATGGTATTTCTGTAAGAATTTTGGAACTGATTTAGTCTTTATGAAATCTCAAAATGAAAATTTTTTATTTTCTTCAACGACCATCTTGATGTCATCAGTTCTCATCTCAGTATCTATGCTGATGATAAGAATGGTGAAGCTGAGGCTGTTTTGGATATTTCAAAAGCATTTGACCAGGTTTGGTATACTGGTCTTCTTCACAAGCTGACAGGTTATGTTATTACTTTAAGAAATTTTTAACTCATTCAGTCTTTCTTATCAAATCACAAAATGAAAGTTAAAACAACCACACATCTCGATCATTTTGCATTAATGCACTTTACTCTATGGTACTTAGACTTTATGAATTTAAGAACTAGATTGGTGGCAAGGTCTCATCATTTTTCAGTTGAAACAGCCATATGCAACCATAAGTTCTATGCTAACTATTTTTTTCTCACACTTCTTGCTAGTGGAACTTTCTTCTGGTTTCTGCCTCCCCAGTCAACTTTGATCTTCAAAAAATTAAAAGCAATAACAATTGATATGATCTGTCTTCTTAATTCTTATTCTTTTATTGTTTTTTTCTCCTTAATAGTGTTTTTTCTCATATTCTCTAACACTCAGTAACTCCTTGCATCTGGCTTTATTGTCTTGATTGGGATGAAATGATTAAAAAGAAAGACTGACAAACACTTGAGGAAGGTCAGCAGGTACAATAGGCAAAATGCTGAGATAATAACAATAATAATAATAATGGTCATTAGTTTGTGTGTAAATAGTGTAAATAATGATAACTCAACAATGTCTAACCTACTTGCCGCAAAAACAAAATGGTATGTAAAAAGGACAGTTATTCCCTTAACACCAGTATTATTGTATACACTTTTGACTCCCTTGACAATGTTTATAAATTATTTGGGATTTATTAAAATTCTAATCATCATTTTTTAAAAACAAAAAAACTTTGCTGAGTGAGTCAAAAGTGTATACAGTAATAGCATTTTCAAGGGAATAATCATTCTTTTGATGCATTGTATTTTTGTGGAAACATTGTCAATAACTCATTTCCCCAGAAATTTAGAAAGAAATTTGTAATTCTGTTTAATTATTTTCTTAATCATTTCTCCCAAGCGAGGCAATTAGGCCACTAAAATGCAAGAGGTTACTGGGGATGAAAGAAAATGCGAAGACTTTAGGAGAAAGAACCAAAAATCCAATCCCAAACAGAAAACAAGGGATACACCTATATTCCTGTTCAAAAGGCAGGGAAGGAGTGTGAACCGGGCAATAGGCAAACTTAAATATTTATGAGATAAACAGGTTTCTTAAAAGTCAGATTTATTTTATTTTATGGCTTTAATCATTTTTCCTAAAATGCAATCATCATACCAGTTTCAAATTTTAGCTGAGACAGTTCATGTTCACTTTATGCAAATGCCTTTGGAAAAGGCATGAACCTACACTTACCTGTATTATTTCTCATTGCCAAATAACTTCACACAATATCTCAACAGTGGGATACCAAGATGGTTGAAGCAGAAGAGTGAGATGATATGGATTTGGAAAAATTATTTGACTGTCACTCATTTACCTGCAGGTCAATAACAACAGGTAAAGGCTGTTACTCATTTTGTCAAACTTAATAGTGATTGATCAACTGTGAAAATTATTAATGATACAATTTCTATGATAATGTATGCCATAAAAAACCCAGTGTGAAGGCCCATTAACTTCAAGTTCCTTCAATATCTGCGATGCATTTACACAAAATATAAACAAATATTTTCCCAGAGAAAAAAAAGAGAATTATATTTTTCCTCATTTTATTTTCGTTTCATTTTCTTTACCTTTTCTTTTGTAATCCTACAGTAGAATGGTTTTTTCTTTGCTTCTTTTTTTTTACTCCATTCTTAATTCCGTTTCACTTGCTTTTTTTCTTTTATTTTGTATATCATTATTTTTCTTTCATTCTATATTCTGTACCTTTCAACCTTTTTATTACAGATTTTCTTTATTTTTTGTTTCATTGTTTTTCTTTCATTCTATATTCTATACATTTCCCTCATTTAATTAGTTTTTTCTTTCTTTTATTTTGTGTCTGATACATTTTCTCTCATTCTATATTCTGTATCTATCATCCATTTTATTAAATTTTTCATTCTTTATTCTGTTTCATTCTTTTTCTTTTATTCTATATTCTGTACTTTTTAACCATTTTAAAGTTTTTCTTTCTTTTATTTTGTATTTCATTCTTTTTCATTCCCTGGTCATTAGTCTGATATCAACACCCACTGTCTGTTCTTTCAATCTTTTATTACTTTTTCTTCCTTTATTCTGTGTTTCATTCATTTTCTTGAATTCTATATTCTGTATCTATCAGCCCTTTTATTAAATTTTTTCTTTCTTTATTTTGTATTTCATTCTTTTTCTTTCCTTCTATATCCTGTAACTTTCAGTCTTTTTATTAAGCTTTTTTATTTCTTTTATCCTGTTTTTCATTTTTTTTCTTTCATTTAATATTCATTAAGTAAAATATGAAAAACACAGACACTTATATGCATAGTCAAAATTTCTTTGATTCTATATTTTGAACTTTTCATTTCTCATTTCTTTCTTCTTCACCAACGATTCACACTTTGATTCTCTCACAGGGCTTGTGTATTGCTGCAGCCCAAAGAACTATACTACTAGCAAGAATTTGACTCCTGGCATGTCCAATCAAGCCAGGCAGGTCGGAGGGCAGGTATCAGTCTAAATGACAATTACAAGAAGCCATAGAATTCAACATGGTGGATGTGCTAATTTGATAATGGAATCAATTTCAATCTGAATTTACAAGCAATGGTGAATCACACATGATGCTGGAAATGCCAAAATTTCTAGGATCATCTAGTTCCCAAATCAAATTACTGCTCTAACTATAGAATTGGCAAAAATTGTCGGATTTGCTACCAAAAGATTTGTTATGGCTAAGAGACTTTATCAATACTGAGACATTCATCAAAGATAGAGAGCTTATTAGAGATGTATCTCTCAGGAGACAGTCTCATGAACTTAAGTATAATTAATAAATGAAAAATGTAAGAGTCTTTTTGCAAAAGAAACTTCTTTTCAAAAGAAACTTGCTGCTCATTTAAGTCGTTGAATCATAACTGACCAAACTGCAAGTACCACTCACTCTTCACTCTTTCAGCCTTGGGCTGGGATCAAAGTGTAGTATCTATTCTCCTGATCTCTAATCACAATGGTATTATTAGCAATTTCCTTGTAAGGAAACATTCAACATAATAGCCAGTGCTACTCAACTTACACTTTTATTCACTCCTTGGCTATTGGTCTGTGATCAAAGTATAGTATCTGTTCTCTTTATCTAGTGGTAATTATAATATTAGCCATTTCCTTGAGGGCACATTCGCATTCATTGACAACATTTCTACTCATTACACTTCTCTTCATTCCCTGGTCATTGGTCTGAGATCAACTCATACTATCTGTTCTCTTCATCTCTAATGGCAATGGCATTACTAATCCTTTCCATATTGGGTACATTTGGCTGTGATGCATGTGCTTGATATGCTCTTATCATGATGGGTATACTGGATTTTGTATATTTGTATCCTAGCATCCCTTTGTTGGCATGCAGTTCTCTTACTCAATAATAATAGTAATAAACATTTGGCTGTGATGCATGTGTCTGGTATACCAGTAACAGAGTGGATGTCATTATGGGTGTATTGGATTTTTTATATTTATACACCATCATCATAATATATCAGGGACAAGTCCAAAGAGATGTAATTCAGTTGGATGTTGTCTCCAAGAGATATTAAGCGTCCGAGTGTAGATTCTATCAAGCTTAAACTCTTGAGGTTTAGTTGATGTCCAAGCAGTAGCACTATACATTAATACCACCTCTACAGTGGCTTGAACCTCAAACAGAGATACTTATGGGTCAACTGAGATAGGCTACAGTAAGTATCCATTTCAGTACTATAGTTTTGTTTGTTTGCCTGACCTTAATTCATCATGCATTCCCCTCTAGACTGACACAGGATTAGTGGGGTAACAACATTGATGGGTATCAAATGGGTTGATTTTTTAAAATTTGAATGATGTGGTGGGCCAAGTAAACCTGGGAATCAATTGGTGACCATCTACTAGGTTACTCAACCTGAACGTATTTCTCACTCACCTCCACCTACAAATTTATATGCTTAGTTATAATTCATAACCCTGGTTTACCCTTCTCATGTTTGGTGTCATGATGGGTATATTGGGAGTCATCTATTTGTACCCCATCCTCACTTTTTTGGCATGCTGCTCTCTCACTCAGTAATAATAATAATAATAATAGTGGCTGAAGAACCCCAAGTTGAAAGCTGAAACAGAAGGCCTAATTACTGCATCTCAGGATCAAAGCCTCACAACCAAATCCTGTAATTGTCATATAATCAATAATGAAACTAGACTGAAATGCAGGATCTGCGAAAAATATGATGAAACTGTCAACCATATTATCTCAGGATGTTTGGAACAAGCAAAAAATGAATATACCCACATACATAACAAGGTAGTGACATATGTGCACTGGAAGATATGCAAGAAGCAAAAAATCAAAACCACTGAGAGATGGTATGAGCACCAACCAGACACGGTCACCCAAAATAATGATGTAACTATCCTCTGGGACATGCCAATTCAAACTGACAGGGAAATAAAAGCTAACAAACCTGATATTATCATAAAAGACAAGAAATTCAGAAGGTATATGCTTACTGACATAGCAGTACCATCTGAGAGAAACACCTCCATGAAAATTATTGAGAAATTGTCCAAATACAAGAACCTGGAAACCTGGATGTTGGGGAATGAAGACTGAAACTTTACCAATATTAATCAGAGCTCTGGGCCTCATGTGAAAAGGAATAGATAATTTTACTAACAGTGTTCCAGGTAACATCAATATACAAGTTGCCCAGAAAACTGCCCTACTAGGAACATTGTCATTTAACTGATAGCACTTTTCTTAGTATAAAGTAAAGTGCTATCAGTTAAATGACAATTCTTCTATAGGGCCTAAGAACTAAAAGAAGTTCTGAAAACAACAAAAGTAGAACTTAACAAATTGAATGAAGAAGTAAGTGTTCACTTGAAGCAAATATCTTTTTTTTTTTAACTTGTTTTGAAGAGTGTTTGATCTTTCCATTTCTATGATTCATTCTGATCTAAAAAAACAAGAAGAGGGAGTGCCCCAAGGCTCTACAGGATACAAAGTAGGAAACATAACATCAACAATAATAATAATAATAATAATAATAATAAACATTTAGGTATGATGCATGTACCAGGTATACCCTTATCAGATTATGTTTCATGATGGGTATATTAGGCGTCGTATATTTGTACCCCAGCATCACTTTGTTGACATACTGCTCTCTCACTCAATGATAATAATAATAATAATTATAAACATTTGGCTGTGATGCATGGGCCTGGTATACACTTATAAGACTGGGTGTCATGATAGGTCTATTGAGCTTTGTATATTTGTAACCCAGTATCACTTTATTGGCATGTTGCTTTCTCACTGTGATGCATATGCCTGGTATATCCAAGGAGGCACAGTGGAGTAATGGATAGCAGCTTGGATTGAGAAATTGGAGAGCCGAGTTCGAATTCTAGTTGAATCCATTACATTCATTTACATGCTAATACTCTTGGGAAAGGTATGAATCCTATTTTGCTCCCCCCACCCCAGCTATGGGTAAATAGCAGAACAGACCAGGTCCTATAGCCTTGGATGGCAACTGGTCTACCTCAGAAAGAAATGGCAACCTAATGCGAGGAAAAAATCTGCCTCGTCTGTCATGTATTGAAAGATACATGACAACCTAAGCATGTATCATGCATGGCACATAACAGACTGACTGATATCCATGTCAACCTAGGTGTCATGATGATGGGTATATTGGATATTTTATATTTCTACACCAGCATTATAAAATGTTTGTTCTCAAAAGTTCATTTTAAAGGCCACTTATAATGGCCGAATCACTTGCATTCTTTTTAAGGGAATTAGTTGGATGCTGATAGCAACCGCTTATTGGCCTTGTATTCAGTGAACAATAATAATGTAGATGCCAATTTATAAAGAAGTAAAGGATGTTTTATTTATTAATCTGACAAATTTTTATCACCATAAACATTATTTTTAGTGGATACTCGTATTTGAGTAGAGGGTCCTTTTATTTGTTAAGCCGTATAATTATTTATTTTCTTCCCATAAACAAACAAATGTTCTCACCAATTAAGCATGGTGAGAGTGGGCTTCTTTTTCTTTAATAAGTTTTCTCGAATATTCAAACCTCTAGACAAGATATAAATATACATTTTAATAAATAAGCAGAGCATCTACTCAAATATAGGTACCCACTAAAAGTTATATCTAGAGTTATAAGTAGCATTATTAATATAAAAAAAAAAAGCCAACACCCAATCATATCAACTGTGAACACAGCCACAATGTGCTGACCATGTTTGGAAAAATAAAACATTCCTATAACTCTAGATACATACATAAAACAATCATAACATCCCACTCTAAATCATCATCATCGAAAAAAAATTGGAAAACGACTCACTGGAAGGCCGTGTAGGCTTTGATGACATATCACCATGACACTCCAGTGGATTGTGTGGGAGCCAACGTGTTAATATGTAAATACCTTTTGAACATTTGTGTTTTACTTAAAAATTCTTCCTTAAAAGATTCTCAAAGTAATATAGCAGTTTCAGCAGCTGTTTTATCCAAAACAATGCAAAGCTTCCGGCATGCTCAATGTTCTTTTTTATGAGACATTATGAAAATCATCAAACATACTTGCAAAGACCATAAAAAAAACAAATGAAAGAAATATTCAATCCAAAACTATTTCATATGTTAGATTGGCTTGAAATAGCGTTGACTTGCGACAACTTATCTGAAGCTATGTCCAACTTGTGGGTCATCACCTCTTATTGTAGTTTAGCTGCGTAAATATTCTCATGAAGAAAAATGCAAGAGATATAAACAATGAATGAAGTTCTGGTGGATTCCTTAATAGACAGATCAGACCAAAAATCCAGTACTGATGCCATATTTGGTCTGAAGCTGCCCACTCCTTGCATTCCAATCTCGATAAGAGTTCAAAAGAATCTCTACAGCCTTGTAGGTGATGAATTATTTTCTACCCAACAGTGGCTTTCACACAGACTAAACATCACAAGCCTCTCACTACTTCATCGCTCTTTCCATGGCAAATGTTCTGACAGCCTACATTTCTTAGTTCTACCAGTTTTGAGTTTCACAACTAAAACCTACCATGCCATGTACACTGGGGCAAATAATCTTCATTCACTTCATATTCCATTAGTTAGAAGGAAGGTCCACTTGGACAGATTCTTCCCATAAACTGCTACTTTTTCAAACAGGGGGCATGTTTTCCCAGTCACTACAATGTTAACCTCTTCAAGTCTGT